AGTGATCATTCTTGAATTGACATAAAGAAATTTCTGAAACCATTAGATCAGCACTCTATTACTATAAATGGTGTGATCAGCACTGTACATTTATGGTATATTCTCTGACTGTATTATTGCTGATATCTAGAGAAGTCAGAGTTAAATTTTTATAAAGACCGTTTCTAAACACTTTAAATCAGACTGACTTTCATAAAAATGCAATGAAGTTAGAGTAGTAGTCTTATGAATAGTTTCTGCTAGAGTTTTCACTTCTTTAAAACCAAAACAATTATTTAAAAGAACTAATGAAGTCATCGTAGAGTTTTTGCTAATAACTTCTATTAGGTCATCTATTTCCTCTGAATCAAAATAAATCTTAATGAATAATAAATAGATTACACTGGTGATTATAAATAATGTAACAAAAAAAAATTTTTACTTGAATCACATTATCTCATGTAATTTTGATTGTATCCTTTTAATTTTTTTTTATTTTACTCATAAACAATACAGTATTCATATATAAAAGCCTTAGAAGATATTAACGAGAAAAATTTTTCTAGAGCACGAGCTTTATTCAAAACAACATGTTGCATTATTTTTCTTATTTTAAACACAACATGAATATAAAACAGAAAAATTTTTTTTACATATAAATAAAAAATTTTTTTTTCTACTTTAATATTTTGTGTTCACTACAATGTGGTGTATCCACCTTGTGTCTTGATAGCTATGCAAACTTGTTTTGGTATTGGGATAAATTAGACGATATGGGTTCTCTTTTTGATTTTTAACTGGGCCACCTAGATCTTGCATCGAGGATCTTTTTTATATGAAATTTACCCAAGAAGTCTACAAGCTAATTGTCAACCTTGACCTACAAACATTTAAAAAATTTTAGTTTAAAAAATCAGATTGCTAATTAAAAATTTTTGCCTAATTATTTCTATGCTAATATTTTGTAACTGTCATATTATATCTATCACCATTATCTTACTACAAAATTATATTTTTAAATAGCCAATTCATAATCTCTAATGGTATCTATAAAACATTAATAAAAATCTATTAGTTTAATTCAATATTCATTGCATAATCGATTTTGTAAAACCCTATTAATGCCATTAAATATAATATAATACTTACCCTTATGAACCTATTTCAAATTTTTAATGTAGAAGCAAATTAATAATTTTTCAAGATACTTTCTACAGTATAATTTACTAACAAACTTAAAAATTCTAAATTTTTGCTTGTTAACACAAATTACCTTAGAACAGTACATCAGCAAATTTATAAGATCATAATATTTTGTAATAATTTACGAACCGTAAAAAAGCTGTAATATTACGTAAGAAATTTCGAAATATTGTGAAATATCAAATTACGAAATAT